AAAAAAAAAAAAAAAAAAAAAAAGCAAGAACTGAAAAGTGAATGCCATGACAGCAGGCAACAGGCCTGACAGTGGCCAGCAACACCACAGGCTTGGAAGCTTTCCCAATCCTTGTTTAATCTCCTGGGAAATTTCTTCTCCACAGAAATACATATTTAAGTCCACAACAAGGATGAAGACTCAAACAGATTTTATGTTCCAGCCACTTTACAAAAGGCCATCTATCCCATTAGTAAACGGACATCTGTATTTATAAAACAGGAAGGGTTCCCTGGTCATGATCATTTGACCCTGGAGGAAATTGCTTCTGGTTCATTCATTCAACAAATATTCATCAAGTAAGGCAGTGTTCTAGGTGCTCGGGCTACTGCAACAATCAAAACCCCGTGTGCTTTCCTAGAGTTTGCATGCTAGGGAGGAGAGGCAGATAATTCACAAGGAATGTAAGAAAGTGATGGAAGCCGGGAGGAGGTTTGGGCAGTGAGGGCTGCCTCAGGGAGGGCTCACTGAGAAGGTGATCTCCTCCTGGGACATGCTTACATTGAGAATCTAACCATAGGCTGAACAGAGGAGAGAAGGGACTGGTGAGGGTGAAAGGACAGTCCCAGGCAGAGAGGGAACAGCAAGTACAGAGCAGGAATTCCTCCATTTTTCTAGAAACAGCCACACATGATGGTACATGATGAGGACAGAGGGTGAGATCAAGGACAGACAGACATGTGCTGTGTGGGATGTGGCCTGAGTAAGAAGGGAAACCATCAAATTTGATCAGAGAAGGGACATGACCCAAGGAACTTTTATTAAAATCTGATGGTGGTGCTATAGGCCCTGAAAGCCATGAAATGAAGATTAAGACTTCCAAAATGAAGTGCAGTGGTATCCACCTTTAATCCCAGCACCTGGGAAGCAGAGACAGTCAGATCTCAGTGAGTTCGAGAAAATTGGTCTACATAGTGAGTTCCAGAACAGCCAGGGTTACATAGTGAGACCCTGTCTCAAAAACAAAAAAAGTTCCTCCACACCCCACCAACTCACCTCCGAGTTCCCAATGAAGCTTCCAGAGCTAAGCTGAGAGGTCGTTTCCCAAAAATGCACAAACATTATTTCTGTCACTTAAATCTACTACAGAGATGGCTTGACAGCACAGGCTAAAATGAGTGTCTCTTCCCAATGTGAGGTGGCACATGGATCTTAGGAACTACAGATCCTGGATCATATTCAAAATCAATTTTAGTCCAGTTGGAAGTTTGGGGGATGGGGGTTTAGCAAAAACATGAAGGGAGAAGAAATAAATGAAAGGAGGAGGCCTAATGATTCCTAAGATTGAATCATCCTATCAGGACACATGCAGGGCCAGCCTGAGCTATTCAACAGGCCCTTCTCTCAAAAAAAAAAAAAAAAAAAGGGGGGGGGGGGGGGCACGCCTTTAGTCCGAGCACTGGGGGGGGGGAGGCGGGCGGTTCTCTGTGAGTCAAAGACCAGCCTGATCTACAAAAGTTAGTTCAAGGACAGCCTCCACAGCCACAGAGAAACCCTGTCTCGAAAAAACAAAAAACAAACAAAAAACCCCCTGAAAATCCAGGTAAAAGTCCACAAAGCTACAAACTAAGACCATTGGAGGTGTTTGTCAGAGAAGATGAAGAAACAGGATCAGAGGGAGCATGGAAGTGCCAGGGAGTGTGGCCTAGGGCTGCTGCTGTTGCTGCTACTGGCTTCCTGGCCTGGTGTCCTGATTAAGCAAGGCAATGTAAATAAAACATTCCTCATCACTCAAAAAGGCCAGTTCCCTGACCACACCCCTAAGCCACTGCTGTCATTTTTAGGAAGAAATGAGAAAAAGGGTGGGGGAGGCTTTAAACAAGCTGTCTGATAGAATTCCTTACTCCATAAGCATGTAAACACACATATGAAAAAAGAAAGGGAGGAAGGGAGGGAGGAAGGAAGGGGGGAAGGTGGAAGGAAGGAAGGGAGGAAGGAAGAAAGGGAGGAAGGAAGAGAGCAGCAAGAAAAATGTAAGGTGTGTTGATTGTCACCATCTGTGGATAGTAGTATTATGGGTAATATATCTGCTGTTAACTGTAGTTTTCTTTTTGCCTTTTCCACAATGAACTTGAGCTACTTACGTTTCCTTTTTAAGGCAGGGAAGTGTATAACATGGTAGAGAAGTTTCTGAGACAAACTGCTCACTTTTCAGAAAGTTCTATCATGATGTAGACTGCACACTCCTGGATACACCTGGAGGTAGCTCCTGGACCACTGTTCAGGTGTGCAGCCTGCCTTGGATTTTGGACTATATGGCAGCCAGGCAGCACATCACTCAAACCCTTCGTGGACTGGTTTGAACATAGCCCGGACTTTGGGGATCAAAATGTATCTTCTAATCTCCTTAACAAAATGTGCTAAGCCCCTGTTGTTCTATCAGAAACTACCAATAAAGTCATGTCAAATCTGCCTACCTATCTGCCAGCCTATGTTCTCTTTCTCTGGGAAACCCCAACTAATACAGCTGGGTTCACTGAGGACGCTTCTTACCAAGTACCCAGCTCTAAAATCAACTATCAAAACAGTGGATCCCAATCCACACTGTTTTGTCATAAAGAAGCCTACCCAGTTTGCTTTTCATTCAGCCTCATGCTGCTCTCCTTCCCTGCCTGCCGAAAGGCCTGGGATATACAGCGCGGCATCAAGTGAAGGTAAACCTTTTATCAGTCCAGGGCTCTCACCCCGCACCAATGGTTGCTAGACAGACTCACGGAATTCCCTAGCAACTGAACATAAATAAAGAAATGAGTCCTGGGAACCGGGCACTGGGCAACTATGGGGTGGGGAGAGAGGGAGTTCACAGCTCAGAGGACAAGAGCATTTTCTGTGCTACCTCAAAGACCCTGGCACCTGACAGAAGAGCAACGTGACAAATATGCAGAGTGTCGTCTCTCACCATAGGAATTACCAAAGAAGCTAAAAACAGCAACATGCACTGCATAATCTCTAACCTCGGGGGACAGGGAAACAGAATCACTGTGTCAATCTCATTTCCTTGTTAGGCACATTATCATATGTGGGGGCCTCTCGTTCCCAGCACCACACTTCACTAACGTTTACTGGGCTCGGGCTTCTGAAATATTCAATTCCATAGTAATTTTATTTTTTGCTTTTGATCTTTACTGTTTTACTCATTTATCCATAAACATGAGCTACTGAACCAATTTTAAATTAAATAGCTAAGGTTAAAGCCTCAGGCCATCCATATAGGACTAAACCAGCAGCCCAAAAAGTACCTCACTGTAGATCTGAGGAACGACAGATGTTAGTCTCCATCTTTTGGATACCTGGGTGTGTGTGGGATTACCTGATGGTGATCCATGCCTTCATTTATCTTGCTCCTCCAGTTTAGGGAGGGCAACTTATGGAATGTCTGTGTTTTCTTGGGAGGGGACAGCAGAGGAAGTCTCCTGATGTTAACTTTGTAAGTCCTCAGCTCTTGTCAAAACATTATCCTACAGGACCTTCTGTAGAAGGGACTTGTTAGAAGGACCCCGCAAAGCAGTACTTTTTATCACTTGGCTAATTTTAAAAGTAGCTCATCCAACCAGTTTTGGCAACTGAACTATTTTCTGAATCCAGAATAGCAAAAACTTGGGAGGCAGGGACAAAACAGGAGATTCAGAAGTCTCCGAGTAGAGTGGATGTCATTCATTTACAGACACACTGCCAGCCAGCCAGGCAAAGAAAGACTGGGGTGGATGGATCTTGGGTGGCCTCACCTACCCTCCCTGTGTTCAATCTCCTTGGGCAAGGGGTCAGGACAGCAGGCAATCACAGACTGCTCTTCCCATATAAGAGTAGGTCTGGAAGTGCTTGTTCGGGGTCCATGAGAAAAATGGATGCAGTGGCCTAACCCATCTAGGCTTACACAACCCACCCAGGGTATCACATACTGGGGTGGAATGAGAGCCTGCATCCAGGGATCTGGTTCCAAAGTTTAAGTACATTGTGTAGCTTGTGGAGGGGCCAGCAGCATATGTAAGAGCCCTATGATACACACCGAGGACTCAATCTGAATCTGTCAATGAGGAGCAGGGGGAGAGGGGTGGAGGACGGCAGGGCAGGGGGAGGAGGTTGGAGGAGGGAGGGAAAAGCTAATGTTTACTAAGTGCCCTCCCATGCTGGGCCCTGATCAAGTTCCTCAGAACAATGCTCAAGTGGACACTAGCATTGTCCTCATCACAGAGATGGGGAAAACAGCTCAGTGACACAAGAACACAAACATGGTAAGTGAAACAGCCAATGTGGCTCCAGAAGGCCCACTCCTAAGATCTTTGTGGAACTGCGTCTCACAAGAGTGCTTTCCACCATCCACAACCCCCGGATTCCAGACTGCACCACTGGCCTTCACTCCCCCACTAGTTGCAAATGCCATGTTGGGGACATACAGCAGCTTACAAGCTCATACGGGGATGGGGTGCTCTCAACATGACTCCACAGAAAAACATAACCATATTTGAAAGTGGTTCTGTGAAGTCAGGAACATGCCTCAACTTGGAGTTCAGGGGGATCGATCCAGACTAGTTTGGTCACAGATGCTACAGTGCACACAGCAATACTCTCTACCCTCTGGCCTGTTGCCCAGTTAGCCTCAACTCTGAAAGACTTGTGTCCTCCTATGTTCAAAGGTCAGGCTAAGGCAGAAATAATGCCCCTGAGTCCATCTTTATCTTCTGAGTCCATAGGTGACCTTCCCTGATGGGCCCAGATACTCAAGTGGGGTGAAAACAAGATTCTTTCATTAAAAGAGAGGAAACCTAAGAAAAGCTCCTGCCACACACTCCAGGGAAGGCACAGCCTGGGCGACAGGCCAGTGGGTAGAGAGTATTGCTGTGTGCACTGCAGCATCTGTGACCAAACTAGTCTGGATCGATCCCTCTGAACTCCAAGTAGAACGAGAGAGCAAACCAAAATTAATCTGGCCACCACTTTTAACATCCACGGCCTTTGTCCCTCCATTTTGCCTTACGATTTCACAGAAGGCTATCTACTTGGCTTAGGGAACATTTTTATCACTCCTGGAAATGGTTTTTATTCAACTTTGAAAGAGAAACATTTCACTTCCTTTTCTCAAAAATGCAGGAGAAAGCAGGTGCTTCTGTCTACCCAGCATTCCTTGGTGATGGAATCATATCTCCCAATATGCAGTTACAAGGCTATCTTGGAGACCCCAGCTTAGCCATAAGATGATTTCAGTCAACAAGGAAAGGTTCCAGGATGGCATGGGGCAGCTATCTTTCTGTTGTGGATCGTAGCTGCTGAAAACCATCTTTCCTGTAAATTGAGAGGTGAGAATTAGATGGGAGAAAGAATTCTGCAATCAGTGAGCCTGTTCTACCTATCTGTCATCTGTCCATCATTTCCTTCCTTCCTTCCTTTCCTTCCTTCCTTCCCTCCTTCCTTCCTTCCATCCTTCTTCCCTCCCTCCCTCCCTCCCCCTCCCTCTCTCCCTCTCTCCCTCCTTCCTTCCTTCAATACCTTGAGAATAGAAGGACATAATAAATTCCATCTGCTTTAAATCTAGTTTGACTTGGATTTCTGTCCCTTGCAACCAAGTGTAGTAATATGAAGGACTGAAAGTTTAAATTGCAGCCTTGACCTTCCATGGAAGGTGTCCACCTGTGGCAAATGCATATCCCTCTCTTAGGAAGGTCTTCACTACTTTTATACCTTATTAAACCACAATGAATTCATTTCTTTTGGGCTTTATCCCTAGCACAGACATGAAGAAATGTGATTGCTCTCTAACAGCAGTAACTTTGTCCTCGGAGATGTGTAGTCACAAATGACAATGTACTCAGATATCCCAAGTGCATGCTGGTCTCCAGTGATCAGCCTATACTATGATGTGTACAATGCTGTTACTTCAGGCAGAGGTTCTGAAAATGACTGTACAGTCAGGCATGGTTGCTCATACCTATAACCATAGCACTCGCAAGGGTGAGGCAGGAGTCTGGAAATAGCCCTGAGTTTGAGGCTACCCTAGGCTATACAGTACACACCAGAACAGCCAGCCAGACAAAAGAGGTTTTTGTTGTTTTGTTGAGCAGGTCTCATTCTGTAGCTCAGGCTTGAGAACTCATGGCAATCTCCCTTATCCTTACCAACTATTGGAATTATAGGTGTGAGCCACTATGCCTAGCTTCCTAGAGAGATTTTAAATTACCAATGCCAAGACCTCCTCCAAAAGATTGCATTTTAATCTAGAAAAGAGGTCCAATTATCAGTATTTCCAAAATTCTTCCCCAGACTAGCTCATTCATTCATTTATTCATTTTTATTTTTATGTGCATTGGTGTTGTGCCTGCATATATATCTGTGTGAGGGTGTCAGATCTTGAAGTTACAGACAGTTATTAGCTGCCATATGGGTGTGGGAATTGAACCCAGGTCCCCTAGAAGAATAGCCAGTGCCCTTAACCACTGAGCCATCTTTCCAGCCTCAATTCATTATATTTAAGCATATCTTCAGTGATTTCTCTAAGTACCAAAAACAGAATAACTTTGCTGCCTTTTGATGGTGGGGCTAGAAAAAAGCAGGGAACTGTTTGTTCTTAGCATTCCCTGCAATGTTGTTAGGCGTCTGATGTTGTCTGTTTGTAGAGGACACACACATTGGCCATGTGTTCCGTGGCCTATTGAGAGCTCATAGCTGTGCCCAAATAGTGTGTGCCTTTAAGTCTCCCAATCATATTGATTGTTATAAATATTCTGAAAAGCTTAAAAATCAAGAATTGATTCATTTTTTTGCCATGATTCATTCTGCTAAATAGCAAAGATCATGTGACCTGAATAGCCTATGGGACGAGTATCAATTTCCCTAGGACTTCAGTAAGAAACTGCTATAAGCCAAATGATTTAAAAGAAACTTGGGAGGCTGGAGAGATGGCTCAGTGGTTAAGAGCACTGACTGCTCTTCCAAAGGACCCTGGTTCACTTCCAAGCACCCACATGGCAGCTCACAAATGTCCATAACTCCTGTTCCAGGGGATCCAATACCCTCATAAAGATATTCATTCATGCAGGCAAAACACCAATGTACATAAAATAAAATAAATAATTAAAAAAAAGAAAATTGGACACCAAAGGCAAGTACAGTGGGGAATGCCAAGTGAAGGTAAAGGCAGAGACCAGGGCAGGAAGCCTAGAGATTGCCATCAACCAACCAGCAGAAGGTCAAGAAGAGAAACAAACAGATTCTTCATTATGGCTCTCACAAGGTCCTGATGATACTTTGGTTGGATACTGGGTCTTCTTGCCTTGATTAGATGAGAAACAAGCTAAACACTCCTCTGGCTGAGTCTGCAATGGGTTTCCAGAAGACTAGATAATAAGGGTGCTGACCTAATGAACAGACTGATTCCAAGGTAGGCTCTTGATATAATGGAATTATTGAAAGGAGTGAGAGGATGGGTGGTGGAGCTGGTTGCATGAAGTCAGTCAATGTGGGGGTGTCCTTGGGGTCTTATTTTGCTCTTGGGTCTTCCTGTATTGATCTCTGCTCCCTGTCCAGCATGAAGTTACAGCTCTCTTCTCACACATGTTCAACCAGTTCCTACAGCTATGATGCTCTGCCCAAGCACACAGGATCAAGCAATCACAGACTAAGCCCTCTGAGACTGTGAACCAAAATAAGTCCTTCCTCCTTTTTTAAAGTGTTTTCATCAAGTATTGTGTTCAGAATAAAAGCAAATAATACAGATTGGCTCTTCCTATGTTTGACAGACTGGCCTTGTTCACTTGGTCTCTAGTGATTCTCCTGCCTCAACCTTTTTGGGTGGCTGGATTATAGGTACATGATATGGCATGTATCTTGGGTTTTCGACTTTTAACCTCCAGAATCCTAAGAAAATATTGCTACAGCAGCCTTAGGAAGCTCTTGAAGTACCTAATAAAACAAAGCATCTAAGACCTTGTCATCCACCTTTCTCATCACAATGGTAAAGAGAAACCCCCAGAAGTTTGAGTGGCAACAGTAAGCCATTATTTTTTAAAAATGTATTTGTTTTAATGTGTGTGAGGACAACTCTCAGGAGTCAGTTCACTCCTTCCATCACATGGGACCTGGAGGCTGAACTCGGGTTATCAGGTTTAGCATCCAGCATCTTTGCCCGCTGAGCAATCTCACTGCCTAGTAAGTCACTTTTAATCTTCATCCAACCCATGAAGTCAACACCAGCTGCTTTACAAAGACAAAGAAGAAATTTAAAACAAAACAATGTGTTTCCTAGCCCAGAAAACAGACAACGAAGCATCTAGAAATCTAGATAAAAAAAAACTACTTAGAAAAAAATATTTTTCAATAAAAACATTTCAATTGTTTTCCAAAGCCAATAGAAATATGACTGCTCACAGCAGCTTTGTTAGCAAGCTATGAAAATACCCCAGGCAACCAGACAAATCCAGTTGTTTTCTGGGCTTGGGGACAAATGAATGGCATGGGTTAATTTATATATCTATGTGTTGTTACAAAACCTGAAGTTGCCAATATCTAGGACTGTATTTCACCATTTCACTTCAGGATCCTCTCCGTGGAAGGCCACCCTCCTCTGTTCCTGTGAGGTTAATTCTTGGCTTAAACACTAAGACTGAGTATAAATTAAAATATAGTCCTAAGGCAGGAGAGAAAGCTAGCAGAGACAGAATGGAAACTGATCTTGCCATAGTAACTTAAGAACTGGACCACACACATTTGTCACTCTGCTATCTTCTAAACTAAACTACCTTTTTCTTTCCTCCTGGGCTTCAACATACATTTGGTTTTCTTATACATCTCAAACACTTACTAATTTTATCCATGGTGATTTCTGCTCTCTGGGTAGGGGATTTTTTCTTTAATAATTGAAGGCAAGTAAAGAATAAGAGACTAAAAGGTTAAATTTACAAAACTTCATAAGGAATACTGGCTACTTAATAGAAGAATTTTCAGTGAAACTCTTCAAATTTGCTGTGAATCTGGAGAAATCTCTTCAATTCTTTGTTCTTCGGTCCTCTTTGCTGCAAGGGAAATGATACTCACATTGTAATATTGGGGATGTTCATGAATGAAATAATCCATCATCAAGACCCAATTAGACAATGGGGGTCAATGCTGACACTTCAAAATCTGATAAGAAATAGATATTCTGCACACAGTTGACAACCTCTGGGGCCATGCGGACTAGCAAGGGACAGGCAGACTCCAATAGAATGGACACCAAGAATGGAAAAGGCAGAAGGAGCACTGAGGCAGACTGCTCATAACATCTTAGGGCATGCATGTCAATCTGCATCAGATAAGCTCTAGTCTTCACAGGAACCTGAGGCGTAGGCTCCTTTAGGCTTACATCCACCTCTGCTGGGGTCTTTGACTTATTTGTAATCGTTCTCATAAATCTAGAATACTAGTTAGTGAAAGGAAACAGTAATTCCATTTTTAAAATTTACTTCCCTTATGTACTCTTTAAGAAGATTTCAATTTCCTAAGCAAGCCATACAGACCTGCTTTACAGAAAGGAAAGGAAACTGCCACAGACTTTATTTGGAAGAGAGAATAAGGAGTAGTTTGAGCTTCCCTGGGGAATCCTAAGGTCAACAGCAGGAGAAGTAAATGAGAAAATTTAAGTTCAAAACAAAGAGCACCTTCCTACGGCTCAGGGATGTATACAATAGAATATATGCTTCTTGAATACACGCTGCCTGTGTTCTCTTCCTTCTAGTGAGACTGCTGCCACTCTGTCCCATGTAATCTTAGCACTTCCTCCAACTGTTTCCCCTACACTCATTCCCTCACACAGCAAGTTCACCAGGCCTCTACCCTGTGCAAGATGCTATTCTATATGCTGTGAACTCAGCAAGCCTCATGTAAAAGGATTATAATCTCACAAGAGCACTTTATAGCATGACATACAGTGCTGGGTAGGAAGGGAAACGTGTGTGTGTGTGTGTGTGTGTGTGTGTGTGTGTGTGTGTGTGTGTGTGTGTGTGCAGGGTTACAGCTGTAAGCAGGGAGCCTAGCGAAGGCCTCACTGAGCAGAGACATCACAGCAAAGTCTGCAGGAGATATGAAAAGAGCTGTGCAGACACCCTGGGAAAGAGCACTCTAAGTAAAATACCCTCAACCTGTTCAAAAAGGCCAGTGAAACTGGACTGGGGACAAGAACAGAGGGGAGAAGGAATGAGTTCTGAGAGGCAAGGGGTGGTGGCTGCAGATGATAAAGAGCTTAAGTTAGCAACTGCAATGCTACATTTCACCCTGGAAAGGGGAAGACAATGGAGGGGGAGAATGGAAGCTGATTATATATGTGGTTGTTTGTTTGTTTTGTTTTTGTCTTTGAGGCAGGGTTTCACTACAGTGTCTTACTATGTAGCTCTGGTTGTCCTGGAACTCCCTCTGTAGACCAGGCTGGCCTTGAACTCTGGGAGATCTGCCTGCCTCTGCCTCTCCAGTGCTGGGATCAAAGACGTGCACCACTACACCCAGCAGAAGCACCGTTATATTTTAAAAGGATCCACAGCTGCTGGTTTGGAAATGAACTGTTTCTCCTTCCAATTAGATCCTGTAAAAAGTAAGAAGGCACAATGAAGCACACCCACAACCCACTCTTAGCTACTTGGCCCCAGAGAATAAAATTTACCTCCATGCAAAAAATCTGCACAATTGTTCACAGTGGCCATACATGTCACTGTCCCAAACTGTTAGCAGTAATAACGTTCCTCAAAAGAGGACTGACTAAAAGCCTGTGGTACATCCATATCACAAACTACTACTGAGTCATAAAAAGGAACAAACTACTGACGCATGCAACTAACTGGAGGGGTCTCAAGGATATTAAACTAAGTGGAAAAACCTCAAAGGGCAAAAATTTCATGCAAAGTACACATCTATAGGAACACAAGGTGTACTCTTTGCAAAAAGTAGATGAAAGGTACCTGGAATTTCTTTATACCATCCTTTCAACCACCTGTGAATCTAAAATAATCTTAACAATTCTTCTTTGTCTTATAAAAAAAATTGCAGAAAAAAAATTGTTTCAATGGGGCCCTGTCGTGTGAAATGACACTCAATTTTGTAGTTACCTGTTGGTACTCTCCCAATGTCTTTCACTGTTTTGTTTTTTAACTTTTCAACCTTAGATAACTGTTAGACATCGGGGAAAGGTTCCCTCCTTTGCCCACGTCCCCTATCAATCTATACATTCGTTAACCTTCCTTTATTCTATATTAATATGTAATTTCCTTTGAAACCATGAGGCTTCCAAATAAGTCAAATAAATCCTTACCATGTTCGCTTTTATGTCTGTATAAGAGTTAAGGCTGTCCCTTTCCTGAAAATTAGTTTTTAAGAACATAAACCCGGTCATGTCTCTCCCCAGCTTATAACTCCCTCCCGAGTCGCCACTGCAGGTAGAATGAGCTCTGGTGTTCTTTCACTCAGCCTCCGTCTGCTCTCAGCCCTGTCTGCATCCTGCCATTTGCCTGTCACTCCTAACCTCTTTCTCCCCTTTCTTGCTGCTCCTCAAATCATCCCACTTAACGGCTGTTGGACCTGTTGTCCTTTGGTCTGGATTGTTCTTTTTGTTTGTATGTTTGTTTTAACCTCTTTATTGACTCTTTGGGAGTTTCACATCATGTACCCCAATTCTACTCACCTCCCAGTCTCCTCATATCCTTCCCTTATCCCTGCCATGATCCCCCAAAAAGAAAAATTAAAGTAAGCAAGCAAACAAAAGCAAAAACAACCCCCGCAAACAAATACCCCCACAACAGAAAAGTCTCTTTGCTACTCCTTCTTTCCTGCCTCTCCAACACCTCCATTCGTCCTGGTGGCAGTGGAGGCTACGGTGTGCCATATAGTATACCTCTTTGTCCCATCAGCTTGACTGGCAAATGTTCATTGAGGTGAGTCACTGGTCTGAATCAAGGCCTCCGTTTCTGGTACACCATTATCACTGGATCCTCACCAGAACTCTTCTGGGATATCATGTGGCCACTCTGAGTCTTGGAGATCTTGTGGGCATCATTCCACAGTACCAGTCCCTTCACAAGCTCCAGCAGGTCCTAGATGGGGCAGATATTAAGGTGGGTCAACCCAAGGCCTGGCTATGGGCCTGCGTAGTAGCCAAGCTGGTCACTCTGGGCCACTGGGGCCACGTGCCTCAGGTGAGGTTGTGGAGTCAGCTCCCCTACATGCAATGCCCTCAGGGTCAGTTCACCCAGTCAGGGCAGAAACTTAAGGCAGGAACTTGGTGGCAGGAGCTGATGCAGAAGCCATGGGAGCCTGCTGCTTACTAACTTGCTCCTCATGCCTTGCTCAACCTGATTTCTGTTTCTTTTTTTTTCCCATTTTTTAATTTAAATTAGAAACAAGATTGTTTTACATGTCAATCCCAGTTCCCTCTCCCTTCCTTCCTCCACTGCCCGCCCCCTACTACCACCCTACCTATCCCATACCCTTTCTGCTCCCCAGGGAGGGTGAGGCCTTCCATAGGGGGTCTTCAGAGTCTGTCATATCCTTTGCGATAGGGCCTAGGCCCATCCCCGTGTGTCTAGGCTGAGGGAGTATCCCTCAATGTGGAATGGGCCCCCAAAGTCCATTCCTATGCTAGGGATAAGGACTAATCTACTACAAGAGGCCCCATAGATTTCCAAGGCCTCCTCACTGACACCCACGTTCATGGGGTCTGGATCAGTCTTATGCTGGTTTCCCAGGGCTAGGGTTTCTGTGGGTTTCCGCAAGCCTTCAACCTGCTTTCTTATGGAACCCAGAACCACAAACCTAGGGGTGGCACTTCCTACAGTGACCTGAGCCATGCAACATCAATCTATAATCTAGAAAATGCACCTGATAGGGGCATTTTCTCATTCAGGGCTCCCTCCTTCAAAACGACTGCTTTATCTTGTGTGGAACTGACATAAAACTAACCAGCACACAGGTTTGGGATGTACCTCAAATGATAGAGTACTTATCTAGCAAACACAAGGCCCTGAGTTCTATTCCCCATCACTACAAAAACCTACAACCATAATGGCAGCACTTGAAAGGTACAGGCAGGAGAGTCAGAAGTTCAAGGTCATCTTCTACCACATAGCAAGTCTGAGGCTCCCTGGGCTACATGAGAGAAAGAGAGACAATATGAATGGGAACATTCTTACCCCACTTTTCTCAATAATATTTTTAAGTTGGTGACTAATTTATTATCTTCTCATTTCCTCAGTGGGCCCCAGAATGTTTCATCATGATATCCCTCAGAACCCATAAAGTCACCTAACACATAGTAGACATACAATAAATATTTTTGACTAATATCTGGGCAAATGGATGATGTATTCAGAGGTAATGAGGTTCCCCATCACTGGCACTCAAGCATGGTTTGTATAGCCACGTATCAGAGTTGTTAAAATCTACAGACACAGGTTCAGTCAGACTGCACCATTCCCTTCTAGGCCTATGTGACTATGCTTCTACAGCCACCACGCCCACACTTTGGCTATGTAATAAACAAAGTGAAGGCATATTCCTCAGTCATTTTCCATGGAATGACAGTACGCACACTCCATGCCTGCTGCAGCATCATCTCAGCATTAAAATGTTGAAGCTAATCAGACATTTAATTTCAAAGTGGAAGGTCATTATCTTGTCACAAAATTTTATTCCAATTACTTTTTTTCTATTATACGAAATGAATTAAAAGTAGCACAAAACATTGGGAGATCAAACAGTCAATCAGAAGCTCATTAAATATCATTGAAATTGGTGCAATAAAAAGCATTTCCCATGGCTGAGTTATTATTTAAAAGCTACATTCTGGATGGCTCAAGGAATTGACATGCTGCCAATCAAAAATTTATCCTGTCCATATATAGCCCCTTGGCTTTCAAAAGTTCACAATCTCTTATTTTTTGAGATAAGAGTAAATATCTAAAAAGATTTAAAGCATGACTGTTACTGCCATCCTGTCAGTCTCTGGAAGGCCCCCAAAAGCAGACAGCAGCAAAGTCACTGTCTGATGATTTAGACACAGAGCCCAGCACTATGTTTACCATTTACCAAGTGCTACTTACAAAGGACTTTGTAAGTGCTTGGCTCTACTACATTTGTATCAGATTTGTAAAGCAACAACTCTGCATTCAAGGGAGAAAGAAAACAGCTTATTCTTAGCCAAAGACAAGTGACCATGGCCCAGGACACAGACTCGGTTGGGCCTCTCTGAACAACATGTTCCACTGTAGAAGAGGCTTGGTACATAGCTACAGAACAAAGATGGTGAAAAACAGATACATCTTCAAAAACACTAGACAACTGTGGAGAAGCTATCACAAGGCAGGAAGTCCTTTCTACAGGTTGAGATGTTAGAATTTTCTTAGCTTAAGAGTTGGTGGAAGCCAGAGGTCCACAAAGGTTAGTGACATACTGTGAGAGCTTACTGGGTCACAAGACGTTAGGCCAGATAGATAGAGGGGTTGAAAATAAGTGGCTACTAAAGGGCCTAGGAGGCTCAAAGTTCTTCTGGCCTGAGTGTCCATCAGTACACAAGGTCAAGCAGTGTGAGGATCTTTAATTCAATAGATGCCTCCTCTTCAGGGAGCTCTGTTCCACGTGTTTACACAGCCCTGAGTTCAGTATTAGCCAGGTGGGAGGAGGGGTAGTCCTGAATTTGAAGGGGTATACAGCACCACACTTGGGAGTGAGTGTCCATTTTACTTTCTAAGGGGTAATTAATAAGAACTTTATTTTTTCTTTCCCTCTTTTTCCTTTGATTACTGAGGACTGAACTCAGAAGGACCTGTCCTGATTCTCTTACAGGTGATCTCTGTCAGCTAAGAACACCGTTTCCTGGGGTGGCGAACAGCCTGTGTGAGGATATGAAAGGTGAGCACTTTACATTCTAACATTTTTCTTCTGGAAGACCTTTCATAAAAAGCCAAGCCACTGTCTTAATTCATTTCTGTTGTGCTATAATTGAATTCCAGAGATGGGGAGTTTATAAACACTAGAAGTTTGTTAGGCTTATAGTCCTGGGGACTGGGAAGTCCAAGGGTACAGTTCTATTGGTTAGAACTTCCCTTCTATGTTGTAACATGGCAGACAGCATTGCGTGAGTGAGGGAGAACAACAGATGTTCTTGAAGCTTCAAGCCCTTATACCCCACATTCATCCCAAGCACCTAACCACCTCCGTGACTCCCTCACTCTCAACACCGTCACACTGGGGACTGTTTCCACTACATGATATTGGGCAACACATTCAAATCATTAGGGCATTTGCCCTGTCCTCCAAAACGTACATTATTTTCACCTACAAATTACAACTGTCCATCTCTAAAGCCCCCAAAATCTAAATTCCTTCCAGTGCTATGTCCAAAGTCCAAAGTCCAAGGGTGGCATCTAAATCAAGCACTTTCATTCACCCTGATGCTAATTCTCCTCCAGCTGGGAATTGGTGAACTCGAATGCATTATCGATTTCCAAAATGAACTGTGGGCCAAGAATGGCGGCTAATGTCTGTAACCCCAGCACTCAGTAAGCCCAGTGCCTGGGAAGCTGAGGCAGGAGGATCACTTCAAGTTTTAGTTGGGATTCTGCTACACAGTGACTTCAGAGCAACTCTGGGCTACAGTGAGACCCTATCTCAAAACCACAAACATGGTGAGATGGAGTTTGGTAAATCCAAACCCAAAGAGGTGAACATTTAGATCTGAATACTCCAGAATAACCACCTGCCACCTCCTAGAGGCTCTAAATGGTTTGGGCCCCCAAATTATCAGGTACCCACTGCTCAGCCTTTTGCTGGGATCAGCTTACTCAGTTCTCCCAGGAACAGGCTGGACACCAATGACTCTACAGTTTGGGGTACTTAAAGAGGACCTTATTCCCAGGTCTACATTAGGCACTGTCCTTGTTGGGGCTCTCTGTGGTAACCCTGTCCCTGTGACAAGTCTCTGCCTGAAGCCTCAAACTGTGCAAAATGTCTTTGACAATTGGTTCCATAGCTTGTACACTGAGTCAGTATACACAGCTCCTTCCAAAGCTTACAGCTTCCGCCCTTTTGAGCTAACCTAGTCAGGCCTGAGACACACCCAGAGAAGCCCAGGAATGCTGCATCAGAATGCAGACACCTTCTAAGGTGGCTCTGGGAAGCAGACACCTTTCTGGAAACCTTGCCTTCAAAGTCCTGGCTCATCTCAAAGATCTCGGACAGTTAAGGCACTGTCTCATTATCCTGATGAATAGATCCTGAGTGACAGAACCTAAATAGTCTCTTAAGCAAAGGGTTACTAGCTATACCGATAGTATTCTCTCCTGGGCATGCTTTTTCACTCTTACCATACAAGGCTGCAAATCTCCCCATCTTTCTGCTCTGCATCCCCTTTAATTATAAACTCCATCTTTAAATCACTTCTCTCAGCCAAAAGAAGCTATGCAGCCAGCCTTCTGAAAGCTTTTCGACTGCTTGGATATGTATTCTGCCAGACATCCTACTTCATTGTTCTTTATGTAGAAGTTCTGCCTTCCACACTCCTAAGGCAGAGTTCTGCAGAACCAAGATGGCCTTTACTCTAGCTTCTAAGGCTTTGTCTTCTTCCAATTGGAGACTCATTAGAATGTCCTTTGCCCTCAGCCTGCCCTCCCTTCCTTCTCTCCTCCCTCTAGGTCTAGATATGCATTACAGGTCAGGCCTCTAGGCTCTGCCTCCCAAGTGAGTGCTAGATTAGGGAGCTAGTGCTGGGATCACAGGTGCAATCCACCAAACCCCACATTCCAACCACTGATCAAAACTGCTTAACTAATTGTAAACGTTCCATGCTTTCTCTGTAGTTCTGAGTTTTCACCACAATTACCAATAATGCCCCACTCACAGCAACCTAGGCCTTTTCACGTTTATTCTCCCAAATTCTTCAGTACTCTACTACCTGAGCCATTCCCAACATTGTAAAGAAATCGTTGCAAAAATCCCCTTCTCGAAGCAGCATGCTTTGTGTTGCTACGACAGAATACCATAAGCTAGGCAATTTATAACGAATGGAAATTAGGTGGGTTTGTTGGTTTGGGATTT